GTCTGCAAAACTCTGTCTCCCAGGAGGCTATTTTAGTGTTGATCCAAGTAAATGTTCATTTAAAAGCTGGTCACCACACAGAACCACAGGGTTAGTTAGCTGTGAGGCTAACTCCTGAACCCATTCCAAATGAAAGAAAGGACATTCCTCTCAAGGTGACACCTTGTTCCCCAGTAACCCAGGCTGTGTGCCCACTGTGGACATCCATGGTTACCCAAACACAGACCTGCCCTCTTGGAGTCTCGTGATCTTCTCTCAGTCTCCATGGCCACGACACAAGTTGAACAAACAACACATCTGAACTCATCAGATTTTCACATTTGGGAAGTAAGACATGCATAGAATCAGTCGCTTTGAAACACTGAAGTCAGTGAACAGCTTTACAGTCTGAATATTGTGACCAAATGAAGACAAGTCAAGATTTAGGAATCTAATTTGCTACCACTAGGAAAATGGCTACTCAAAAAATTTCATTTCACAGTTGTTGATATTTCAACACAGTATTATCATCATCATCATCATCATCATCATCATCATCATCATTTTGGTTTTTCAAGACAGGGTCTCTCTGTAGTGTTGGAGCCTGTCCTGGAACTTGCTCCGTAGACCAAGCTGGTCATGAACTCACAGAGATCCACCTGCCTCTGTCTCCCGAGTGCTGGGATTGAAGTAAATTTACTTGTATATTGTGGATGGTGGAAGGTTCTTGCTCACATGCATGCAAACCATTCATGCACAAGCCCAGAGACCGAACACTGGGTCCTCTATTCTATCATACTGTGCTTTGTTCCCTTGAGACAGGGTCTCTTCTGAACCTGGAGCTCACAAATGTTTTTTGGCTAGGCTGGTAACCAGCAGGTTCCAGCAATTCTCTTGTCCCCATCCCCCCCAACAGAACTAGGACTATAGACATGCTCAAGACCATGACCAGCATTTTACATGAGTTCTGAGGATTTGAACTTAGGTCCTTGTGCTTGCACAGCAAGCATTCTTACCCACTCAGCTATCTCTCCAGTTCCAAAAGTAAACTGTCTTTTTAAAATCATGCATGCTCAAGAGCCAGTGAGATGGCTCAGCAGGTAAAGATGCTTACCACCAAGCCTGACCAGGACACACATGGTTGAAGGAAAGAATTTCCACAGCTGTCCTCTGACCTCCACACATGTCATGCCATGGCATGAGAGCGCCTCCCCAGTGATTACGTGTAATTCGTTTGTTTGTTTGTTTGTTTTTCGAGATAGGGTTTCTTTGTGGCTTTGGAGGCTGTCCTGGAACTAGCTCTTGTAGATCAGGCTGGTCTGGAACTCACAGAGATCCGCCTGCCCCTGCCTCCCGAGTGCTGAGATTAAAAGGCGTGTGCTACCACACCCAGAATGATTAAGTGTAATTTTAAAAGCAAAAAAAAAAAAAAAAAAAAGAAAGAAAATGTGAGCCGGGGCAGTGGTGGCACACGCCTTTAATTCCAGCACGCGGAAGGCAGAGGCAGGCAGATCTCTGAGAGATCAAGGCCAGCCTGGTCTACAAAACTACACAGAGAAACCCTGTCTCAAAAACAACAATTTACACATTTTTAAACTATAACCCCACCATAAAATATAAATTATAGCCACCCAGTATACACATATACACACAATATGAACAAGAACATGCAAATTACAGGTTTCACAATACAATGCTTGCTCTTTTTTTTTTTTTTTTTTTTTTTTTTTTTTTTTTGGTTTTTCAAGACAGGGTTTCTCTGTGTAACAGCCCTGCTGTCCTGGGATTTGCTCTGTAGACCAGGCTGGCCTCAAACTCAGAGATCCACTTTAAGGCATGCACCACCACTGCCTGGCTACAATGTTTACTGTTATGTCACGTGTGACACTTTTTGACTTTCCTAGTCTAACATATTTTTGTTGATGTTGGATTTGGGGCTTTTGTGTGGTGCTGTGCTGGGAATGCAACACAGGACCTGTACATGCTACACACACTGTCACTGAGCTACATCTCCAAACCACTCATGCATTGTATTTGCTCTTAAATACTTCTCTTATTTGTGTGTGTGTGTGTGTGTGTGTGTGTGTGTGTGTGTGTGTGTGTGTATGTGTGTGTAGTACCTGTGGAGAAGAGGATGTCAGATCCCTGGAGCTGGAGTCATAGGTAGTTGTGAGATGCCCAACATTATTGCTTGCAACTGACCACCAATCTTCAAGAGCAGTGTGTGTTCTTAACCAATGAGCCATTTCTCCTGCCTCTTATGTGTTGTTTTAAATGCTGGTCATTACTCATTCGACTGAATCGATGGCCATTGAAGGAGAGCCCAGTACAGCAGGGGCTTCCTCCCAGACCCCAGATCAGGCACAAACCACACCCAAACACCTGCTTTCACAGAGATATCCTTTATTAAGCAGGGAAGAAAAGTTAAAGTGCTGTTTTCTGACTCAGGCAGAAAAACAGCAGCAAATGACCTTACAGGTATAATTTTTGAGAGGAGAAGAAGGGGAGATCTGTGTTAGAATGGGCTAGGGTGCGGTGGTAAGGGAGATAGGGGACAAGGGAGAAGGGGAAGGGGACAAGGGAAAAGGGAAAGAGGTATTTGTCCTGGAGGGACAATAGAGAGGAGACTGGTGAAGCCCATAGGAAAATGGTGGTTTATAAAAGAAAAAAGGGAAACCCCATGTTAGGATGAGGTGTTTAATTTTAATTGGGCATGTTAATTAGGTGAGCCAAAGGGGGCTTCTGATTGCTGGACCGTAGTAGTCAGCCTCAGGAAGAGGAAGTGGCTAAATAAAGGAATGGACCTTGGTGGCTAGCTTTAGGAATGCAATCTAATGGTTTTTAGCAAGGTAGAGGGAATGGGGGAGAAGGGTAAGGCCTGCCAGAGCCACAAGCTCGAGTGGGCTAGTGTCCCTTCACCCACTAGGAGGCAAGCAGTAGTATTGACTTAGTACTATTACTTAGAATTTCTGGGCATGGTAGCCCATGCCTGTAATCCCAGCAATTAAGGAGGTTGTGTGAATAGGTTCATGACTTCAAGGGCAGCTATATAGTGAGACCCTGTCACACACAAATACACACAAAGCATGTATGAAATTATCAAAGAATAAAAAATCCTATTTCTAAGAAAGAAAAAGTACCGTTGACATTGACAGCTTGGCTCACCCTAATCTGTGTGTGTTTTCAAAACTCACCTGTCTACATATAAAGAAAGGAACTCAGCACAGGAAGACTGTCCATTGCCAGGACTTTTGACAAATACAGCTGTCGCTGCTCAGTGAGGAAACAAACTGGAGCATCTATTTAGCAGACACATGGCACATTTGCTGACATCATCACCTGATGGCCCAGTAAGACCCTGTACCTATTGTGATCAGCTCGAATGGTTCTACTGTCAACTACAGACTGAGATGGGAGCGTGACTGACCAGTTTGTTTTCTTCAGTGATGAGTACAGAAGCCAGGTCCTCACCCATATTAGGCAAGCACTCTACCCCTGACCCACAAACCCCAGGTCACAGGCCAATATGCAGCCTGCAAAGCCCTCATGGCCAGGGCTCAAATTGCTGCCGAAGCAAAATATCACCATATGCTGATTCTGAGGCTGACAAGACAGTCAACCTCTGTTCTTTTCCATATCCATCCTGAGAAAAGCTGGTGTGTCAGGGGCCCTGGGTGGGACTTGGCATCTGTACCCTCCTACACTCCACACTGAGAGTCCCTGAACATAGACTGTAGGTGCTGGTAGACCTTTGCCCTCAGGCATGCAGTTGGCCAACTCCCACCCTGAGGAATCTGAGTTCCCCCTTCCCAGGTCCTTGCTGCTCTCTTGGTCATCAGTCAGCGTCAATACGAGCAGCTCATAATAATTTCATACCTAGGTCTGCTCACACCTGTGGCCCTAGCACACCAAGGTGGAAGCGAGAGGATCAGGAAGTCAAGGTGATTCCCACATACAAAGATGTGGAATATTATCTTGTAAAGTGGGAAGGATGGCCAGAGTCTACAAGTACCAGGGAGCCCTTGAGAAACCTCAGGTGTCCACAACTGCTGCAGCAGTTCTCCAATGACAAGAGTAGTTACTTATCTCGGGTAAAGAAAGGCAAGGCAATCACTCCAAAAAACAGTAGCAAACCCTTGCTACCAGCTGTCTCTGAGTACACTGTAAGGAAAGCCAAGCAAAGAAGAGCTCTGCAGAGATGGCAAGATTACCTCAACAGAAGAAAGAACTGCAAAGGCATGATATTTGTTGAAAATGTGGTTGACTTGGAGGGCCCGCCTTTAGATTTCTACTACATTAATGAATACAGGCCAGCTCCAGGAATCATCTTAAACAATGAATCTACCTTTGGATGTTCGTGTACAGACTGCTTCTTTGAAAAGTGTTGTCCTATTGAAGCTGGAGTTGTTTTGGCTTATAATAAGAACCAACAAATTAAAGTCAAACCTGGCACTCCCATCTATGAACACAACTCAAGTTGCCAATGTGGACCTGATTGTCCCAATAGGATTATACAAAAAGGCACACAGGATTCCCTGTGCATCTCTAAGACTAGGAATGGTTGTGGCTGGGGTGTAAAAATCCTTGCGAAGAATAAAAGAATGAGTTTTGTCATGGACTATGTTGGAGAGGTAATCACAAGTGAAGAAGCTGAAAGGCGTGGACAATCAAGAAATCACATACGTTTTTGATCTGGACTAGGAACCTGATGAATTCACAGTGGATGCCGCTCGATATGGAAATGTGTCTCACTTTGTGAATCATAGTTGTAACCCAAATCTTCAGGTCCTTAATGTTTTCATCGATAACCATGATACTCGGCTTCCCATAAGAACCATAAAAGCTGGAGAAGAGCCGACTTTCAATTATCAAATGAACGGTTCTGGAGAATTGTCTTCAGATTCTATTGACCATAGCCCTGACAAAAAAAGGGTCAGAACTGATTGTAACTGTGGGGCTGAGACTTGCCAAGGTTACCTCAACTGAAACTTCAGGAAATGGAGCTCATGATTGGGTTTTGTTTTGTTCTAAGAACTGAAAAAGTATTTGGGGTGCCTTTCTATCATCAAGATTATATGTGTATGTTAATGTACAACTTGTGTCTCAAGGTATTTGCAAAGTACATTACTGTTGCTTCTGAAGAGGACTGCAGGGCCACATAAATAGAATGTATTTGGTGGTTACATACTAAATATGGAAAGTGAACTGTTTCCAAATCACCATACACTTAGTTAAGAAATCTGAATAGACAAGTGTCCCCTTTAGTGTTTGAAAAGCAATGAGGCAATGGTTGTTACTATGAAACCTTTTACCATGACAAGCAGATAATTCAGTCTAGGTAAATGTACAGATTTTATTTTTTTTACTCTATTGTTCCTGCTTAATACTCACTGATCTTGTATTTGAGATAAATAAGCAGCACTGAAATTTTTACTGTATTTTCTACTTTTACATTAAAACATTGGCATCTTAACGATGTATTTCAGGTATGAAAATAAATGTGAAAAGCTTCTTTCAGCTTGATCTCATTTCAGCTTGATACCATTACAAAGACTGAAATTCTTTAAGGAGTTTTTAATCCTGTTGGAAGAAAATCTCTGATCACCTTCTCTAGAAGTCCATAGTCCTTTATGCTTCTTTGAAATGACATAACAGTGTGACTAAGAGGACCGTTGGCGTGCTAGGCAGGGTAGGTGAGTATGGAAGAGAGCCACAGCATGAACAAGTAGCTCTCCTCTAAACAGAAGATCAAGACCCCTGGAGAGCACCTGCCCTAATGGCAGTGTCATTCACATCATGTTACTGTCCCTGCCAGGCAGTTTTAACAGTTCTTTTCCACTAAATTTAATTATTGTTCCATTTTCTACATGTCCTTGAAAAGTAACCTATATCTGAACAGATACTTGTTTTATAAAAGAAATTTTTAGATAGGGTAAAACTAAGTTTGGCCAAAGTTATGTCTGATTGAACTTTCAGTAACCTATAGGGATTAGATGGGATTTCTCCCTGTGTAGTAAAACCCAATAAAGAAAAAACTTACTTTCATCTCTCTGGGTCTGGGGGTGTGAAAAGAAAAAATGCAGCAAATCCTGTCTTTCAGTGTCCCGATTAAGACTTCCGTAAGCTCTCTGCTCCAGGCTGTAATAGACTACCATAAGCTCAAGAAAAATGAACTGAATTCAGCACTAAAAATAAAAATAATAGTAATTTCATACCTAACGGACTTGTCCCGGCTGGAGATGCTCTACACTGCTAACAAAGCATCTTGTGGGAAGGGACACTCTTCCCACAAAAGAAATGCTAAGAGGACTCTGTGCTTCCTTAAAAGTTCCCAATCACATTGGAAAGACTCTGCAAAGTCTTACATTAGAGAAACCGGTTTAACTTCAACTTTAGCATTTTATAACTTAACATAGGCCTGACACTGCCTATACAATTGTGGCATAAAAGAAATGAATCTTTGTTTTAAATTCCTCTTAACACAGACCACCTGCCTCGGACCTCAGTCTCATCCCCATGCCCCTTCTCTAATGCCCTGTCCACCTTCCTGAACCTTGTTGTCCCCAAGCCCCTGAGCATTGAAGGAGGGAGTGGATCATGTTAGAAAAGACAGGATTGGATTTAGTGGGCTACTGAGGCAGGAGAGATGACATGGTTCTTAGTACTTGGCCAATCGAGTCCCACTTTAATTTAGGCCTTGTGGGCATTGTTGCCTAGAGTGGAAGGCAACTTCCATTCCTCACCCCCTCCCCAAGAGCCCATGCTTATTCTCCTCCTTTTCAGTGGATGCTCACGTGAGAAGAGCAGAAATGTATAGCCACATCAGTTGCACTTCCCTGAGTGCTCCTTTGCCTAGGGCTGTCTTTAGAGACAAGCTGTTTCTTCCACCCTCAGCGAGAACTTTTATCACCAACCCCAGTCGTATTCCCTCTCTTCTCACCAGACACTCCTAATCACAGCCTACTAAATCTTCCCCTTTTGACTAAAGTAGTTTGGGTCACTTCAGTGTGGCAGAGTCAGTCCCTGTGCAGGCTGAACACTACATACTGTGCCAGGGTGAGCAAGAGGCAAGAGGCGAAGAGAAACGTGATCTTGCAGCCCAAGACCACCACTCCATGAGAGGGAAGGCTGTCATACAGAGAGATATTGACCAGCTCCCACGTGGTGTTGGCTACTTCCTCCACAGGGGCCCTTGGGGCCAGCAATTTGGAGAGGAGACTGCTGAACCTGCTCACGGTGGTGGCCACTGGCTCTGGACTAGGGCCTGGACCGGATGTGGTGAAGTTCAGCTCTTCAGGGTCCACACACAAGCCATCAGAGGAGCGCTCAAAGACCACCTGGCTGAGGTCCAGACCGGCCACGGAACCTGGGGAGGCGCATGCCACATCAGCCACACGCCCAGAGCCCTCCATCCAATCGCGCAGCCACTCCAGGTGGCAGTCACAATGCCAAGGGTTGCGGAAGAGGAAGAGGCGGCCCAGGAAGAAGCCAGGCTGGAAAGCAGCCCAAGAGAGCATGGTGAGGCGGTTGCCATTGAGATGCAGGGCCAGGAGGCCCGACAGGTTCTGGAAGGCTCCTTCCTCCACAAAAGCGATGCTGTTGCGGTCCAGGTAAAGCAGCTCGAGTTCCACCAGGTCGGAGAACCAGGCACGCGCCACACGGTCCAGCTCGTTGCCACCCAGATTGAGTGTGCGCAGGCGGTGCAGGCCTAGGAAGGCAGCCGCAGGCAGCGCGGCCAGTAGGTTGTCATTGAGCAGCAGATGCTCTAGGGCACCGCAGTCGCTGAAGGCCCCGGCGTGCACTGCGCGCACGCGGTTGGCCTGCAGGCTGAGCGAGCGCAGGCGCCTGAGGCCCTGCAAAGAGCTGGAGGCCACGGCCTCGATGCGGCTGCGCTCCAAGTGCGCGTGAGTCAGGTTAGCCAGGCCGCGGAGCGCGCCGGGCACCCGGCGGAACAGGTTGTCGAAGGCCGTGAGCTCGCGCAGGGCCGGCAGCTCGGCCAGGA